TGAGATGGAGTTTCGCTCTTGTTACCCAGGCTGGAGTGCAGTGGCACAATCTCGGCTCACCGCAACCTCCACCTCCTGGGTTCAAGTGATTCTCCTGTCTCAGCCTCCTGAGTTGCTGGGATTACAGGCGACCACCTCCATGCCCAGCTAATTTTTTGTATTTTTAGTAGAGATGGGGTTTCATCATGTTGGCCAGGCTGGTCTTGAACTCCTGACCTCAGGTGATTCACCCACCTTGGCCTCCCAAGTGCTGGAATTACAGGCATGAACCACTGCACCCAGCAAGTTTGCCTGTCTTTTAATGGAGCTAAGATTGTGCCTTTAAATATTTTGTCTTTTAAGATTTATTTTATTTTAGACAGGGTCTCATTCTGTTACCCAGCTGGAGTGCAGTGGTATGAATATGGCTCACTGCAGCCTTGGCCTCCTGGACTCAGGCGACCCTTCCACCTTATCCTCCCAGATAGCCAGGACTGCAGGCATGCATCACCACACCTGGCTAAACTTTTGCATTTTTTTTGTAGAGATGGGATTTCACCATGTTGCCCAGGCTGGTCTTGGACTCCTGAGTGATCCTCCCACCTCAGCCTCCCAAAGTGCTGGGGTTACAGGCATGAGCCACCATGCCTGACTTAAAACATTTTATAAAGGAAAAGGATGTTAATATTTTAGAAAGCATGTCAGAAGGAAGGAACCAGTATGTGCTCTTTACAGGCTGGTCAAGCACCTTACATGGACACAAAATGAAGAATAAAAAGCTTGGTGCAACCCGGGAAAGGATGAAAAGTACTTTTTGAGAATGATTGAGTATTTGGGCTACTGTGGTGATTTTATATTTATAAAGCTAATGTCTACTTTTTCCTCTAATGGGAAATGAAAGTCATTAGTCGCTTGTGATTTCTTGCTCTTAAGCAGGTAGAAATCATTAAGAATCATGGTAATATGATTAAAAATGCTTCCATTTGTAAGGGACATGCCTTTACTCTTTGGAGTATAATTTGAAATGTCAACATATTATTTTTCTTGGTTAAGATTCAAATCAATGACAGGAAAGACTTCTGCAGGGAAAATTTCACTGCAACCTGAAGATATCATCAGGGCTTGACAACGTATGGCTTTTTGGAAGGCCAAACATTTGAAAATTCTACTCTATTTATTTATGTATTTATTTAGAGACAGAGTTTCACTTTGTCACTCAGGCTAGAGTGCAGTGGCGCGATCTCAACTCATTGCAACCTCTGCCTCCCTGGTTCAAGCAATTCTCCTGCCTCAGCCTCCTGAGTAGCTGGGATTACAAGCACGCACCACCATACCTGGCTAATTTTTGTATTTTTAGTAAAGCTGGGGTTTCACCATGGTGGTCAGGCTGGTCTCGAACTCCTGACCTCATGATCTGCCCGCTTGGCCTCCCAAAGTGCTGGGATTACAGGCATGAGTTACCGTACCCGGCCAAAAATTCTATTTTATGAACATCATCTTCATACCATAATCACATTTCAATGAACTTTAATGAAGCCATTGTCATTGCTTTTTTTCTATTACATACTTTCCATTTGGAAGTTTATAGAGGTGATGGAAGAATCAGGTATCTGATATTTACACACATACATTTGAGGAGGTGGTGGTGAAGGGAGGGGGAGCAAGAAGAATTCTACACAGAAAATTAGACAAGCCATTCTCACAGCCTGAACCTGTTTAATTTCCTAGCAAACCATATTGTCATTATTTCTGGTGTTTCTGATTTTGATTCTGATGAATTCTTTTCTGAGTCTCAGTTCTGGTTTTAAAAATGGGGGTCATTTAATGTTGTGGGACAGCTAGCAGAATTTCAGGGAATTGCAATAACGATCCATCGAGTTGAGCAGAACCAAGATTCTGCTACAATATTAATGGTTAAGTTTGATTTACAAGGCTTCTTGTTTACTCCTTTACTCTGCTTAGTTGCTTGTTGTGGTATATAATATCATTGCAGGTACACTTATTACTTTAGTAATTACAATAATGTAATCCTAATGGGAATACACAGAGACTTAAAAGAGAATCAATAGCCATAAAAGAGTGTTCTTCTAATCTCTTTGCACAAATGAGCTGCTTCAGACAGGACTGACTCTATCCCTGTCACTTGAATCCCTGGCAGAAAAGTGATAACATTGCGGAGCTATTACATGTTAAATCTACCTTTGACTCACTCGTGAATGATTTGCTAAAGACTCAGTAAAGGATCCGTGTGGAGAGTCTGGAGCATAACAGATAACAAAGTGGGCCCCTGAGACCATTGGCTACCTTGAGCCATCCTGCATAGAAGAAGAATTGTAGGAGGGTGAAGATTGGAATGTAAAGATCCAAGTCATGCCCTGCGTAGCCTTTGGTGGGATCCAAAAACTGGCGTCCAATCAGGCACGTAAAGAAGAAGGTATAGACAGCAAGAGTGACAACCTGGAACAGAGAGAGACTGGAGTGAGGGACAGTGCTGGCCTCCCACAGTGAAGCTACAGTCCCAAGGTGGGCGAGTAGAGATAAAGAATTGCGTGCAAAGTATTTCTTACCTGGGTGTAAACCAGTGGAATCCCAACCCAGTCATAACCGAATAAGAGGCTGCACCAAGAGCGGAATCGATTCATTTCCTAAGCCAGAAACAGATCTAACATGATTTACTAAGATGACAGGTGTGGTAATAAGTATTTACTGGGATTCAGAATATGAGCATGTCTTTTATGAATATGTCTGTAAAACAGCGGGACTGACTGTAAGTCTAGTAAATTGGTTCCCAAGGATACTCCAAAAGGAAAGTTCCAAAAATGACAATCAGTCAATAAATATCATTGGAACAATGTGTTCATTGATGAGTATATTTGGACATTAAAAAACATTAACATAAGTAGTGGCCAGGTGCAGTGGCTCATGCCTATATTCCCAGCACTTTGGGAGGCTGAGGCAGGAGGATCACTTGAGCCCAGGAGTTTGAGATAAGCCTGGGCAACATAGACATTGTTTCTACAAAAAATAAATAAATTATCTGGGCTTGGTGGCATGCACCTGTAGTCCCAGTTACTCCGGAGGCTGAGATGGGAGGGTCACTTGAGCACAAGAGGTCAAGGCTGCAGTAAGCCATGATCGTGCCACTGTGCTGCATGTAGCCTGGACAGAATAACACTCTATTTCCAAAACAAAAAAGGACTTCATAAAAGTATCCCTCTCTACCATTCTATTGAACCTACAATTTTCAACATATATATTGGCCCAAAGTCATGATGATAAGGAAATGGCATTTTAAATAAGTAATTTTTTGTCAATTTTGGTAGATAATCTGGAAAGCATTTTTTTTGTTTCTCTCATTTTAAAACATGCTTATTATAGATCTTAGAAAAGAGATATAATTATACCTGTTTCCTCCCATGAATGGAGACTTTATAACACTCATATTGATAGAAAATCTATCTCTGAAGCAGGAAGGGCAGGATTCTTTGATTTTTAAAAATCTATTTCATACAAGTTATTATGTAAGACTAGGGAAAAGAGTTCACATTAATCTGGGTGCTATTTTTAAATAATTCATTCCTGTTAGCCTAATCCAGGCAGGGGACTGTCATGGCACAAATATATCCAGCCCTTACATAAATTTGTTTTTTTTTTTTTTCCAGATGAATTCAGGGTCATTTTGTTTAATGAAAATACTATTTTACTTACTAGAGTATCTAAAAAGCTGGCTTAATCTTGCAATATTCCAGTTTTGGGGAAATGGCTGGAGGGGTTTTTTTCTCCTTCAGAATTTACTCTATGATCCTGGATCCAGGGATGGCAAATATGCCACATGGGCACCGTAGCCTTCTGAGCCTTTGGTGACCCTTAGCTAATCAATCAAGGAATACTTTCTTACAGAGCCTATTAGAAAGCATGATTTTGTTTAAAATGTAGCATCCAAGCAACCATTTCCAAGCAGCCTGAGTTTAACCTGTGTTCCACCTCTGTCCTGCATGCTGAGGGTTCTGACACTGGTCCAATCTTTCTGGTTCCTTTGGAACCAGGACTGAACTAAGCTGACTCTTCCTGGTCTAACGTGCTATATCCAGGTCCCTCTTGGTCTCTAATTAGCATCTTTTTCTTATGGTTTATGATATACTTACAGTCATCAATGATTGCAGATCAACACTGTCTCTGATTCTACCTTCATTCCGGGCTTTAGTTGCAAGATTTCCAAACCAGATGAATGGAACCCAATATTTCAGATGAGGAGATTTGAGGTGGTTGAATAATTTCCTTTCATCTGCTGTCATAAAACCTTTACAAAAAAAATAAACATGGGTAATTATACAGACTTAGTTTGGCACTAATATGTTGCTGTATTTCAGCATCTATATAAGCATATAATGAAGGGATATTAAAGAAATATGGACTAAAGTTTCCTGTCTCAAGCAGTTTATACGTGCCTTAGAGTTAAGGAATGTGTGTGTGTGCGTGCACACGCACACACACATACATATGCATGCACAGCCACAAGTTATATAAAATCCCTGATAGCGGAGGCCAGTAGGGAGTAGGGAGACATTAAATGTGAACTAGAACATTTGGGGACATTTCTTCTTTAGCTTTGGTTTAGTCATTTAAAATCGGGAACCATAGTACTTAGAATTGTTATGATTAAAATATAAAATATGATAGTGTATACAAAGCACCCGGCATAGTGCTGAACACATGATTTACATGATTTCTCCTGATCTCTCCTTTCCAAGTCCTACTTAATCATGTCCTCCTCTGTGAAGGCTTCCTTGAGTCCTTCCTTCTCTTTCCTGGGGGATTTCTTCCCTTTAAATTTCCCACGTGGTATCACTCTTGGCTTGCATCATAGTAATATCACACATAAATGTTTCCCTCACTATGACCCTTTTGAAGGGCAAAGAGTATGGATTAATCTTCATAGTCCGCATACCATTTTGCACATAGTTTACAAGTGTTTCTTTGTGGCCAGGCATGGTGGCTCATGCCTGTAATCCCAGCACTTTGGGAGGCCGAAATGGGTGGATCACTTGAGATCAGTAGCTCAAGACCAGCCTGGTGAAAATTTGTCTCTACTAAAATACAAAAATTAGCTGGGCCTGGTGGCGCATGCCTGTAATCCCAGCTACTGGGGAGGCTCAGGCACAAAAATTGCTTGAACCCAGGAGGCAGAGGTTGCAGTGAGTCGAGATTGTGCCACTGCACTACAGCCTGGGCGACAGAGTGAGACTTTCTCCAGAAAAAGGGTGTGTGTGTGTGCATGTGTGTATGCATGCATGAATGTGTGTGTATAAAATGCAATCTGCTTGAGCTTGCAGTGAGCTCTCTGAGCCTCAGTTTTCTCATCTGTAAAAGAGAGTTGGCCGGGCGCGGTGGCTCAAGCCTGTAATCCCAGCACTTTGGGAGGCCGAGGCGGGTGGATCACGAGGTCAAGAGATCGAGACCATCCTGGTCAACACGGTGAAACCCCGTCTCTACTAAA